AGAATGGAGAAAGGAACTTAAAGAAGGAGATATGATAGATGTCAGTTTAGAGATAATAAGATCTTAAGGTGATTTTGAATGGGTCTAAGCTAAGATTTTGTCTGTAGAAAATGATGAAATTCTACAACTAGACTTTATTTACGATAAATGGTAGCAATAAACAAGGATCAACATGTGGTCTATCAAAATTGAGTAGTTTGGAATACATACAAAGGATTTATATGAATAAAGATAAATTTCAAATTATGATGCAAGTTGATGTAAATGACATTATGATTTGGTATAGATCAATCATTTTAGACATCTGAGAAAAAGAGGAATCAATTGGAGGAAAGGTTATTAAATGGGCTTTTATTGGATATAGAGCATATTGTGAGTAAGGGAGTAAATAAGATACATTGGGATCATTCGACGGCTGGTCATCTAAATTTGATGAATGGATTCCACTGTATTCTCTTCGCCTAAGGCCATTTCTGACATAAACTTTGAAATATAGAATAGAGTCTGAAAGAAACACTTTCATTTTACCGAATTCAGCATTATAATCACTGCAAAATGTAAAATCAATAGTTTAAAGTGGTGGAGCAGATATCGATGAATCTACAAATTATGAAGAATCTACCCTCCTAGTTGCATGCTAATTAGGAAGATATGATATAGCTGAATATTTAATTTCAATTAAAGCAGACATTAATAAGAGAACTAGATACTTTATTTCGCCATTGATTGCTGCCATCTAAGGGGAGCATTTTGATATTGTTAGATTATTGGTAGAAAATGGTTCAGATTTAAATCTGAATACGAATAATATCTATGCTTCATAGAAAATACATTAATAGCTCGAAAAAGTATTGCTGTTGATTTATGAGATTCAAGAATTTGAAAGAATTAAAGATATTTTAAATCTTCTTGATGGAAAATATTCGCTTGATAGAATCGAAGCCTCATATAATAAGATAAATAAGAATATATGCCGCAAAGTTATCACTGAGTATATTTGAATTTTAAAAAATAAATTAGAATAAGCTTAAATTTTTGATTATCAAACTCATTTTTAAATACCTATATAGTTATTATGGGGTTTTGGGGTTTTGGGG